TTGGTAGCCCAGGCTGGCCTCGAACTCACAGAGATCCACCTGGCTCTGCCTCCCGAGTGCTGGGATTAAAGGCGTGCGCCACCACCGCCCGGCCAGCGCCACCACCGCCCGGCCTAATTAATTTTTAAAAAGGAGGGGGTTGTCTCTTTTCCCTGGATGCAGTGGTGTGCACTTGTACTCCCATCAGCTGGAAGGCTGAGGCAGGAACATCACTTAGGTTCAGACTGGACAACACAGAGTCTTAGAAGAAAAAATTAAAAAATTTCTCCATCACCCTACATCCTTCCCTTTACTGGTTCTATTCCCCTAAGAAAATTATTTTTAATAATAAATAAATAAATGAAGCACCCTGGAGGCAGAGGCAGGAGGATCTCTGTGAGTTTGAGGCCAGCCTGGTCTACAAAAAGAGTTTCAGAACAGCCAAGGCTACACAGAGAAACCCTATCGAAGAAGAAGAAGAAGAAGAAGGAGAAGGAGAAGGAGAAGGAGAAGAAAAGGAAGGAAGGAAGGAAGGAAGGAAGGAAGGAAGGAAGGAAGGAAGGAAGGAGGAAGGAAGGAAGGAGGACTGTCTGTTAATTCATTCACCAACTTGCTGATTAGATGATTTGGGGGGTCCTTTTATAGTTTGTACATATTCTAGGTATTAATCCTGTCATAATAATTACTGTAGCTTCTCTTGCTATTGATTTCTTATTTTATTCCACTCTGATCTATCATTAGAAATTCTTTTTACTTTCTTACATTCGTTAAAACTTGCTTTATGTAAATCTATCTTCACAAGCCCTGCTCTGAAGTCTTTCTTACAACATGCATATTGTAAGCCTAAATGATTGCAGAAGCCAAGCATGGTAGTGCACACCTGTAACGTCTGAGTTCAGGAGACTGAGGCAGTAGGATCTCGAGTTCATGGCCAACCTGGGCTGCATAGTGAGTTCAGGGTCAGCTTGGGCTACCGTAGCAAGACCTGGCTCACAACGAAATTCTGAGTGGTTTATTGTCAGTAATTGACGTGTTCGTTTCCAATAACACACAACAGGGGCAATTCCTCACGTCTACTAGCTGTAAGTGGAGCAGGTGGGACACAGAGAAGTCGAATTACACGGGAGACCAGAAAGAGGCTGGGGCCTGGACCAGTGCCCTGAAAAAATAAGGTCCTTGAACTTGGAGGCACTCTCAGCCTAGCTGGGGGCAGGGAGACAAACAGGAGGAAATGTAATGGGCTTCTGAGCTCCCCCAGACCACTCTCTTTGGAGACTTAGCTGTTTTTATGTATATGGGTGTTTTCTCTGAATGTGTGTCCGTGCATCGTGTGCACACAGTGCTCACAGAGGCCAGAAGAAGATGTCAGATCCCCTGGGTATGGAGTCATAGAGTGGTAAGCTGTCACGTGGGTACCAAGAATTGAACCTGAGTCCTCTCGAAGAGCAATCAATGCTCTAAACTGCTGAGCCATCTCTCCAGCCCCTAAAAACTATGCTTGACTTGAGTGAAGAAGCCATGTCCTTCACCATTCACACAGGGGATCTGCTCAGATGTCTCCCAGTCCCTGCCGTTCAAGTTCTCAGTCTTTCTCTCCAGGAAAAAAATTGTTTCCCCTTCACCTGGCTTCCCATTCCCCTTCACTGAGCCTTGACGAAGGCACCCAGGCCAACACATAGCATTTGCACGTTTGTCTAGCTCCCTGTGCCGTGCTGGCCACCGGTGCAGGGCTTTCTGGTCTTGGGCGGAGATGAGCGCCTTGCAGAGTCATACTCTTATCCATACGCTGTGAGGGGCTAGGTGAGTGAGGAAGAGGCTGGAGGAAAGAGGACCCCCACGCACAAACCAGAGCAAAGGTTGGTACCTCATAAGTAATGTGCGGGCTGTTATCACTGTTACAACCCTCCACACAGGCTGGCAGAGCAAACCTCTTCTCCGGTTGCAGGGTCCTCTGGAGACTTTCCCACCATTCCTGGTGAGAATCGAAATAGAAGTCATCTGCCACCCTACCATCCACAGCCAAGCAGAAACCAGACAACATGTCTCCTGCCCATCTCTCCAGTGGTGCCAGTCAGGGGACACACGTGCTGGAGAGTCCGCTAGCCCCATCAACAAGGGACCACGAGGGAGTTTAGAAACCTTGAAAGCCAAGGAAACTAAAATAATTGGAACTGAGTAGGGGGCAGAGAGAATCCAGTGTTGCCGGTGTAGACAGGGCCTGCAAAGGCTAAGCTCTAGAGAAGCAGACAGGAGAGACTGTTCCAGAGAAGCCTGGTCTTCATGGGGAGCACTCCCACTTGCTGCCCCTTGGGAACAGTGTGTCTAGTAGGGCATCCCACCACCCGCTCCACTCAGAATGAAGCCAAGTAGAAAGGGGTCCCTGGGACACAGGCATATAGGACACTTAGACTGCATATTTAACTCAAAGTCTACCTGCTCCCCGGAGTCTCTGGAGAAGTCCCTCAGAAAGCAAGGTTGTCATACAGAAGCTGTGGGCGTAGATCCAAAGACCCAGCCTGCTGATATAGTGAGTTCCAGGCCAGCCGGAGATACACAGTGAGGCCCTGTCGGAAGGAGAAGAAGGGCCCAGAGTGTCTCTTGCTCTCCAGCCGTCTTAGGGGCCATTCATGGTTGAAGACCATCCTTTATCTCAGGCAGGAACATGATGACCATAAAGGAAAGAGCAAGTCACTGTAGCTAATCAGCCCCAGGCTCCAACTTGTGGAGCCTACACGCTGAAGCACAAGCAGGTTCCACAATCAGACGAGGCAAGGTGAAGTCAGCCATCCTCGCTGTCACTGTCCAGCTCTGAAGTCTGAAACAGCTGGATGTGGTGGCGTGCATCTGGAACTCCAGAACTTCGGGATTTGAGGAAAGTACGATACTTGACTTGTGTTTGAAGACAGCTTGGGCTACACAGTGAGACTCTCTAAAAAGGGTGGAGGGATCGAGAAAAAGGAACATTTTTTTTTCTCTTTTTTTCTTTGCTACAGCTGCAGGTGAGAGCAGAACAAAGAGAAAAAGGAACATTTTTAACAGATTATTCCCTCAGGTGGGCTGAAACTAATGTCCAGCTCCACAGTGACTGCACTGGCTGGTTTTATGTCAGCTTGACACAAGCTAAGGTCATTTTGGAAGCGAGAACCTCAATTGAGAAAATGCCCCCACCAGATCGACCTGTGGGCAAGGCTGTGGGGCATTTTCTTGGTCCATGATTGATGTGAGAGGACCCAGTTCACTGTGAGCGGCACCGCCGCTGGGCTGGTGTAGAATAAGAAGTAAGCTGACCAAATCTGTAAGTAGTGCTAACCCCCATTGCCTCTGCATCAGCTCCTGTCTCCAGGCTACTGCCCTGTCTGAGTTCCTGTCCTGACTTCCCTCAGCAAGGGACTGTGACCTGAGAACTGTAAGGGAAAATGAATCCCTTCTTCCCCAAGTTACTCGGGGCCTTGGTGTTTTATCCCAGCAGTCCAATCCAACTAAGGCCGTGGCTGTAAGATTCAATTAGACACAAGGCGAAGGAAGCACATGCCGGGCTCACTGGTGTAGATGATTTGGATATCCCAGAAGCATGGCGTGAAAAATAAACCGTAAGAGGGCTGGAGCCATGGCTCCGCAGTTAAGAGCACTTTTACTCCAGTTCCAGGGACCCGACGTCTTCTTCTGACTTCCTCAAGTACTTCAGTACACATGGCATCCATAAACCCATGCAGACACACACAGACACATGAAAATGATACATAGATAGATAGATAGATAGATAGATAGATAGATAGATAGATAGATAGATTTAAAGAAATTTGTTTATTTAAAGAAATAGATAAATAGTCTAAAATCATACTGCCCTGAACATACCCAATCTCTTCTCATCTCAGAAGCTAAGCAGGGCCGGGACTGGTTAGTATTTGAATGGGAGACCGCCTAGGATTACCAGGTGCTGTAGGCTTTAAAAGAAGGGAAAAAAGAAACAGGTAAGTAAACCACACAGAATTCTTCTTCAAATAAAACTTGCCAGAGTTTGATTTAAAACCCATTTTTAAAGGGCCAGCTTCAGCAGCTCAAGGGCACTTGCCATGGAGCCTAGTGATGAGCTGAATCCCCAAAATCCACACCGTGAAGAGAAAGAACCAACGCCTGAAAGTTGTCCTCTGACCCCACACATGCTCTGTGGTACAGGCTCACCCACATAAACAAAAGAAATAAATGTAAAAAAATGTTTTCAAAAGGAGAGCACTGCCGGGCGGTAGTGGCACATGCCTTTAATGCCAGCACTCGGGAGGCAGAGGCAGGTGGATCTCTGAGTTCGAAGTCAGCCTAGTGTACAAGAGTGAGTTCCAGGACAGCCAAGGATACAGAAAAACCCTGTCTCGAAAACAAACAAACAAAAAGGAGAAACCTAAAGATGTGGTTCAGTGGTAGAGCACTTGTCTAGGATAGGGAAGGGAAGGCCTTAGATTCTCTTTCTTTCTTTCTTTCTTTCTTTCTTTCTTTCTTTCTTTCTTTCTTTCTTTCTTTCTTTCTTTCTTTCTTTCTTTCTTTCTTGGAGCTGAGGATCGAACCCAGGACCTTGTGCTTGCTGGGCAAGCGCTCTACCACTGAGCTAAATCCCCAACCCTGATTCAGTTTCTAGTATGAGAAAAACGTCCCATGTCAGGCCAGAGGGAGGACTGAACATCAAGAGCACTGCCACTCTTACAGACGACTTGGGTTAGATTCCCAGCACCCACGTGGTGGCTCACAACCATCTGTGACTCCATAGTACTGCAAACACATGGTACACACACATACAGGTACTCACACATACACACAAAATAAAAATGAATGCATAAAAATTTCTAGCCCTACACGCAAACATAGCTTGATTCTGCTCCAGGAAGTGAAAAACTAATCAGAAGGAATATATGAAAAGAAACTGAAGGCCAGGTGAGGCAGGGCTCATCCACAGTCCCAGCTGCAGGAATTGAGGTGGGGAAGAGAAGAAGCTCGGGCGGGTGGAGGGAGGAGGGAATCTGTGGTCAGCATGTAAAATGAATAGAAAATACCTTAATAATAAAAAAAAAAAGAAAGAAAAAGAAGTTCAACATCCTTTAGTCACCAGGAAGAAAAAAACAGATAGCACTTCCAATGACTGTAATCAAAAAAGAAAAATATGCACTGGTAAGAAAAATAGGGAATATTAGAACCTTCGCAAATTGTTGGTGAGAACAGTACATGTTGGCCCTCAAAAGGTTAACGAGCATTACAAGATAGATGTTGAAACAAAATGTTGCAGCACTGTGCACAATCGCCAACAAACCACCTGAATACACAGTAACTGAGGAACAGACAGACAAGTGGACTGCTCCAGCTGATAGCTGAATGAAGAGCTGACCACCATGAATGAACTTGGAAAGCTGACAAGTAAAGGGACCACCACACATGGTCAGGGATTGTGTGATCTCATTGTAGGAAATGTCCAGAAAAAGGAAACCCGTTCCGACAGAGCCAATTGCTGGTTACTGCTGGTTAGCAGATCCAGGAAGCAATCTGGGAGCGGGGTGTGACTGTTTACTAAGCATGGGGCTTCTGGGGGAGTGGTCCAAGTGTTTTGGAATAAGATGGGTGTGATGGTCACACAATGGGACAAATACAGTAAATTCTACAGAATTCTGTGCTTCAAAATGGTTAACTTTGTGTTGTGTGAATCTTACCTCAATTTTTAAAAAGAAAGAAAGCATAAAATAAGGCCATGGCTACCAGGGCCATGTAAGTCATGCTACACAGCCATTGCCTTCTCCACGAACCTCAAGTCCTTTCCTAACAAAGTCAAAGTCACAGCCACTGAGTAGATGCAGGCCTTCACCACAGCCCTCTGCTCCACCTCTCTCTGTCTCTGTCTCTCTCTGCCTCTGACTCTCTCTGTATCTGTCTCTCTGTATCTCTGTCTTTCTCTCTCTCTCTCTCTCTCTCTCTCTCTCTCTCTCTCTCTCTCTCTCTCTCTCTCTAGGGAATCCACAAGCTTCAGAGGTGTCAGAGCAGGAAATGGGCCCCGAGCAGTAGCACCTTAGCCCTGACCTCCCCCTGACCTCACTAAATGGTTCCTTTGTGAGTTTGTGAAGTCAATTATTCACCAGCTGACCAAGGCATTGGTGCAGCAGAAAAGGCCTCTGACTGATGTCCCCTAAACACTGCTGGTCTACTGTGAGCCAGCACAGCACACGGTACTTAGTATGACCAGCTACACATCTGTCACACACATGCAGAGGGCCTAGGTCGGTCCATGCAGGCTCCCCAGCTGTTGGTCCAGAGTCCATGAGCTACCACAAGCCCAGGTCAACTATCTCTATGGGTTCCCCATCATGACCTTGACCCCCCTGACTCATACAATCCCTCCTCCCTCTCTTCAACAGGACTCCCGGAGCTCGGCCTAGTGCTTGGCTGTGGATCTCTGCATCTGCTTCCAACAGTTACTGGATGAAGGCTCTGTGATGACAGTTAGGGTGGTCACCAATCTCCTCATCTCCTCCCAGATCCCCCCCTACCTTCCTACCCATCCAACACCATGCCTTCCCTCTCTCTAACTTTAGAAAACAAATAGGCACCGGGCGGCGGCGGCGGCGGCGGCGGCGGCGGCGGCGGCGGCGGCGGTGGTGGTGGTGGTGGCACACACCTTTAATCCCAGCACTTGGGAGGCAGAGGTAGGTGTTGGGTGTTGCTGGAGGGCTTCTCTCCAGGCTCCACCAAGCCCCGCAGTCCCACAATCCATGTATAAAATAATCACTCAGACACTTACATCACTTATAAACTGTACGGCCGTGGCAGGCTTCTTGCTAACTGTTTTTTTATCTTAAATTAACTCATTTTTATAAATCTATACCTTGCCACGTGGCTGGTGGCTTACCGGCATCTTACATGCTGCTTGTCCTGGCGGTGGCTGCAGTGTCTCTCCCCCTTCTTCCTGTTTCCCCAATTCTCCTCTCTCCTTGTCCCGCCTATACTTCCTGCCTGGTCACTGGCCATCAGTGTTCCATTTATATAGAGTGATATCCACAGCACTTCCCCCTTTCTTCTCTTTCCAAAAAGGAAGGTTTTAACTTTAACATAGTAAAATTACATATAACAAAACAATTATCAAGCAAGAATTACAGTTACAATATTAAAGAAGATGTGATATCCACAGCAGGTAAGCGGATCTCTGTGGCTCCAAAGCTACACAAAGAAACTCTGTCTCAAAAAAAAAGGAAACAAACAAACAAATAGGGGAATTAAAAATACAACAACAAATAAACCAGGATAGAACAAGAACAAAAGGAAAAAACAGTATGAAAAGCACATGCACAGGCATGTAAGTGCGCAGAGAGAGAAGCCATAAATCACAAAATCAGACACCATAATATATAAGCAAAAGAACCATAAGGTAAACGCCCAGACAGAGCATTATTAGACAAAAACCCTACCAAAACACCATTGAGTTCATTAGAGTTGGCCATCTACTGCTGGGCATGGGGGTCTGCCTTTAAACGTGGTTTGTATACCCAGTGAGACTCCAACTTTTCCTTTGTGAGCGGTTGCCAATTGGAGATAGCTTCTGAGTTAGAGGTGGGGGCTGATGTCCACTTCCCTCTCATGGGACCCCACGTGGCTTAGACCTGTGCGGGCCCTGCGCATGCTGCCACGGTCTCTGTGAGTTCATGTCCGCATCAGTCCTGTTGTGTCCGGAAGACACTGTTTCCTTGGAGTCCTCCGTCCCTGCTGATCCTCTTACAAAAGTTCCCGGGGCCCCAGAGGAGGGGTTTGACGGAGACATCCCATTTAGGATCGAGTGTTCCACGGTCTCTCACTCCCTGCACACTGTCTGATTGTGGGTCCCTGTGTTTGTTCTCATCTGCTACAGGAAGCTTCTCTGATGACTGATCAGAGAATAGCAGACTGTGAGAATAGCAGAATCGAGTCAGGAGTCATCATATGGCTAAACATCTTTGTCGCTAATAGATTTTAAACAAGGATTCCGAGACAACTCAACAGTATTGGGCAGCCAGATAGCCCCACACAAAAGAATGCAGCTAGACCACTACCTGATATCTTTTGCAAAAATTAACTAAAAGTAGATCAAAGATCTAAATGTAAGAGGTAAAACTAGCTCAGACATGGTAGTACACACCTTTAATCCCAGGACTAGCAAGGAAGAAGCAGGTAGATCTCTGGAAGTCTGAGGCTGATCTGGTCTACATAGAGAGTTCCAAGCCAGGACAGTGAGATCCTGTCTCAGAGAGAGAGAGGTGGAGGGCGGGGCGCTAAAACTACCGCTTTTAGAAGAAAACATAGATGTAAATCTTGTTACCAAACTGTTTCTTAGATATAGCATCTGGCTCACAAGAAACCAGTGATAGTTGGAATGAGAAATGTCCCCATAGCATTTGAATACTTGATTCCTGATTAATGTTGCTGTTTGGGAGGCTTTATAATATGTGGAGGAAATGTGTCACTGAGGTGGCCTTTGAGAGGTGTTTTTGTTTTTTGTTTTGTTTTTTAGCTAAACTTTTATGGGATGGGGTATAGCACTTGTCTGGAATGCACAAAGCCCTGGGCTCAATCTCCAGCACCACAAAAATAAATAATTTAGTTGATTAAACAAACAATAAAGCTTCCCACTTCAAAAGACACAATCATTGAAAGTGAAAAGCAATGTTGTGGCACAGTTCCACGGTAGATTGTGTGTTTGCTGTATTCAGCCTCTCTGCTTTGACGTCACCTGTGTCTAAAGTTTAAGTCACACATACCCACACATGCTCACCTGGGCTCTCATACCCAATGAATAGCTTCTTACATAAAAGTCTTTGATATCTTCATATTACTTGAAGATAGCACCACAAGCCACCCAACAGAACGAGCAGGACTCTCTCTCTCTCTCTCTCTCTCTCTCTCTCTCTCTCTCCCCCCCCGTTTTTTTGTTTGTTTGGTTGTTTGGTTGGTTTTTGGTTTTTCAAGAAAGGGTTTCTCTGTGTAGCCCTGGCTGTCCTGAAACTCATTCTGTAGACCAGGCTGACCTAGAACTCACAAAGATCTGCCTGCCTCTGCCTCCCAGGTGCTGGAATTAAAAGTGTGTGCCGCCGGGCGGTGGTGGCGCACGCCTTTAATCCCAGCACTCGGGAGGCAGAGCCAGGTGGATCTCTGTGAGTTCGAGGCCAGCCTGGGCTACCAAGTGAGTTCCAGGAAAAGGCGCAAAGCTACACAGAGAAACCCTGTCTCGAAAAAACCAAAAAAAAAAAAAAAAAAAAAAAAAAAAAAAAAAAAAAAAAAAAAAAAAAAAAAGTGTGTGCCACCATGCCAAGGTTAGGCTGAATTCACTTTATCATCAGTGCCCCATTGAGAACCCTGTTCTCTGGGCGTTGGGGGCACACGTCTTTAATCCCAGACTCGGGAGGCAGAGGCAGGCAGATGTTTGTGAGTTTGAGGCCAGCCTGGTCTCCAAAGAGAGTTCTGGGACAGCTAAGGCTACACAGAGAAACCGGGTCTCAATATATATACTAAATTTAGTCATACCCCAAGTCATCACGCTGCTCTTTCTCCCTAATGACAGCTTTCCAGGCAGCTAGAAACATAGGAACACTTCAGGGCATTTTGAACAAGGTGTTTAGAATGTTAATGGGTGAAAATGGGGTACAGCCGCATTTATTTCACATAAATTAATCTTGATGAGCTTTATTGCCTTGGTTCCCTTGGCTACCACCTGTTGTTTGGTACCTGCTCAGCCCAGGGGGTGGAATTGTTCCCCTGGCAGGAGGAGGTCAGCCCGAGTGATAAGAAAGAGAGTGAGAAGGTTCAGCAGCTCAACACCCAGCCGCTTCCTGGGTCACTCCACGCTATCAGCTCATTGGAACCTTTCCTACGTTCTCAGTTTCACCCGTGTCAGCCAAAAGTTGGAGAATCCAGACAGTGTGTCACACAGCGCTCTGACAAGGTCAGGGGAGGGGTGGACGGGGAGCCAGGAAGAGCCTGGCCAGTAACACTCTACCCTGGCGTCCTCCTCTGAGATGGTCTTCAGTTTCCTGATCACTGCTGCCCTCTGGTGCTCTGACGCTTACACTGCACCATCCCGACGGCCAACATGGCAGAAATCTAAAGGCAGCCACAGTCGTCATTTTTAATTCTCTAATAATCACATTTTCTTTGTGGCGCTGCAAATAGAACCCAGTACACTGTGTGTGCTAGGAGCCCCAGTATCTCATTCAAAACAGTCCCTCTGTTATGAATCCATGGGCATTTTTGATAAATAACTTTGTTCTTAATTTCTAGAGGATTCACCAGTCTCTGAAATAGTCTGATTCTACTAGAATATAGACCCCTGGAGAGGAAGGGTTTCCCTGGAACTGCTGCTCTCTGGGTTCTAGAAGCTAAAACTTTATCTAGCAGGCTCATAGTAACATGAATGAATGAATGAATGAATGAATGAATCTGGAAACGTTCCTTCTATCCCAGGACTGGCTCCATCTCCTGGAGCTCTTAGGTTGTGTTACCTTCTGGATGAACCTTCCCAGTCCTGCTTTATTCTCGGCCATCTCCGCAACCTCTCTGCTACCCTCACAGCACACACCACAGTCCCGGGTCAAACTTCTAGACGCTGCACTCCACACACTCACACACACACACACACACACACACACACACACACACACTCACACACTCACACACACACACTCACACACACACAAGTCACTACTGTAGACTCTGCGCTACACACACACACACACACACACACACACACACACACGTCATTACTGTAGACTCTGCACTCCACACACTCACACACTCACACACACACACACTCACTCACACACAGGTCACTACTGTAGACTCTGCACTCCACACACTCACACACTCACACACAGGTCACTACTGTACACTCTGCACTCCACACACTCACACACACACACTCACACACACACAGGTCACTACTGTAAACTCTGCACTCCACACACACACAGGTCACTACTGTAGACTCTGCACTCCACACACTCACACACTCACACACACACACTCACACACAGGTCACTACTGTAGACTGCACTACACACACAGGGTCATCAACAACTATACACCGCAAAACCTGGCGTTGGAAGCCAGTCAATAAAGACTTGTGAATGAGTACCTAACTATTCCCAGTACTTCCTAGCCCTACCCAAGGAACGTGATCCATCCCTGCCCTAGTCGCCTCTGATTTCCAACAGCTTTATCCTCACTAGACCACTGAGATGGCCTATGCATAGTGTGAGTTGGGTGCCTGGCTTTAAAAGGAAAAAAAGAAGAGGCAGGACTAGGGTAGGAAGGGGAAGTGTCCCAGCATATACCTGAACTTGTCCATTCCCCTACCTCTTTCCTTGGGCCATCAGGACCCTCTTCCCCACAAAAAGTACCAAGAGCGGACCAGGCTAAGGCTAAGCCGATGGAGGGTCCCCAGACCCTAGGATACATTGACGCACCTTCCTGGTGCCCAGTCCAGCCCCACGAGGCTGTGCATACACAGCTAGGCTCTCCAAGCCTCCCACTCACCAGCCCACAGTTAGGTTTCTCAGCTAAGCAGGGCACATACCGGCTCACAGAGACTGAAGCAGCAAGCACGGGGCCGGCGTGGGTCTGCACCAGGTCCTCTGGTGTTTTGAGATGCTTGGTGTTTCTGTGGGACTCCTAACCGCGGGAGCGGGTCTGTCTCTGACTCTTTTGCCCGCTCTTGGGACTCTTCTCCTCCTTGTTGGGTTTCCTTGTTCAGCTTCCGTGTGAGGGTTTTTGCCTGGTCCTACCGTATTTTGTTTTGTCGTGTTTGATTGCTGTCTCTTGAAGGTTTGCTCTTTTTGATGGGAGACAGAGAGAGGAGAGGGGAGGTGGTGGGGGAGCTGGGAGGAATGGAGGGAGGGGAAACTGTGATCAGAATGTATTGTATGACACAAACATATTGTGTTGGTGTTTTGATCTTGGAGTTACAGTGTTAGCTGCCATGTGGGTGCTGGGAATTGAACCCGGGTCCTCTGGAAGAGCAGTCAATGCTCCTAACCACTGCGCCATCTCCCAAATATAAGGGTTTTTAATAACCAGTTTAGGAGGTTCTCAAGAGTAAATTTTGTGGATAACAAGTGGTGTCGAGGGTCAAAAGGTTGGACACGCCTTAAACGAGCCTCCTGGGCACCAAGGACCCTTTGGGCTCCAAGGAATGTCAAAACTTCGCTACCTTCGAGGTTCTCAGAAATCTTCTAGGTCCTCGCTCCCAGGATTCTACAAAAATCTGGAGTCCGGGTAGACCCATTGCTCTCCTGCAAACTCGGGAATCTGCCTTCTAGGGGGATCGTGGTGAAAACCAGTGAGCCCGCTAGGTGGCAGCAAATGCCTGGGAAAGTGGCACCAGGTGGGAGCAGCTACTTCCTAAAGCCAGGAGGGCCAGACAGAGGAATCAACGCTCAGGGAGCTCAAGGAGAAGGAGATCCGGAGTGGCAGAATGTCCTCACATCAGAAGAGGGGACAACGCAGAGACCGGAGAAGCTGACTGGGAGGGGCCGTAGAATGAGAATGTTCGCAGCCCGGTACCCGCCCCCGCCCCCGCCCCCGCCCCGACCACGTGACCTCCTGAGGCTGCCTCTTAACTGCAAAGGTAGAGACAAGAAGGCAATCTACTGCAGAGAACGTTTTGAGTGTTACCGGGGATTGTGCGTGGAACTCTCTGAGCATGTAGTAAGGAATCAGTAGTCACATTATAAATCCCACAAGTCGCCAAGACCATGCCTGGCTTAGCCCAAATTATTCTTCGAAGGTATTTTGTAGACGCAGATAGTGTCCATCATCAGTTGATGATAAGGGAGGCTATCTACATAATCAGAATGGGCTTGAAGTAATTAGTTGATTTTTTTTTTTTTTTTTTTTTTGGTTTTTCAAGACAGGGTTTCTCTGTGGAGCTTTGCGCCTTTCCTGGAACTCACTTGGTAGCCCAGGCTGGCCTCGAACTCACAGAGATCTGCCTGCCTCTGCCTCCCGAGTGCTAGGATTAAAGGCGTGTGCCACCACCGCCCGGCTGAAGTAATTAGTTGAAAGGCCTTAAAATCATAACTGAGTATTCCCTTTAGAAGAAAAAAAATCTGCCTGTGGATAACATCTTCAGTTCTTCGAGAGTTCCATCCTCCACTTAATGATTTCCGACTCTTCCAGCCAGCCCCACAAGCATTTCCTTAGGTATTCCATGCTGACACCGTTTTCTCTGGTTGAACCCTGACTCCTCGAGGTGGTGAGGTCACAGAGTCTAATAGTCATGTTTATTCACTCCTTTGAAGTCCCTGGCGGTTAGCAGCTTTTAAGGTGCCATCATTGAAGACTACAGTAAACCACCGTTGTTTATTGGTATAGCTAGGCACAGGACCACGAGTAGGCAGAGGAACCATGCTCCCCGCTCCCAAGAGAGGCCAGGCTAAGTCCTCTTTCTCCAGTAACCAGTGTAGAAATGAGAATGAAGGTTCCAAATCACGCTGCCTCCCTGGGAGCCAGCTGGTGAGGAGGAGTCCTCTCTCTCGGCAACGAGCTGGGCCACATGTCCTGGTACCACGCCTCTCCCACCTCCATCCCACAAGCCTGTTGTGCACAATCCACACCTCCTGCCCTCCAGCCCTAATTCTGCTAATCACGCATACATCTCGGTTTCTGTTCTACAGTTTGGAAGGCCAGGCCAAGTCCTTAACTCATCACATCGCCTCACCACCAACTGTGGGGCGGGTGCCATTGTGCCGTTCACAGACAAGGAAGCCAAGATAGCAGGCAGGCTCTTCGCCTTCCGCACCTGCTCCTCCTCCTGGGGAAAGTTGCTCCTTCAAGGCAGGCTAAGAACACCTGCCATGGAGACAGATTGGCTCTGATGGTGACATGCCCAGCTGAGAGAATCCCTCCACTTCTCAGCCCCTCTGCTTGCTCTTCAACCCACATAATTATAGAGAATAATGGTGGCTAGTCCAAGAACCCCTGGGGCTTAGCGGGCCTTGGCTTTCCTTCCTTTTCTACCGGGGAACTAAGGACTCTGGGAAAATACCATCTAGAGCAATGGTTCTCAACTTGTGGGTCCTGACCCCCGAGGGGGGTCAAATGACCTTTTCTCAGGGGTCTCCTATCAGATATCTCACATATCCGATATTTACATTACAATTCATAAAGGTAGCAAAATTAGTTTTGAAGTAGCTACTGAAATAATCTTATGGTTGGGGGTCACCACAACATGAACTGTATTAAAGGGTGGCAGCATTAGGAAGGTTGAGAACCACTGCTCTAGAGAGAAAATGGTGAGCTCAGTACCAGTAAAACCAAGGATAAGGACTAGCGTTGCACCCGGCAAGACTCAGCAAGTTCTAGAACCTCTGTGCTTGGTTCTGCCACCTATGACATGGGTCAGTAAAGAGCTCACAACCAAACAAAAAAAGCTCAGCTCACAGGGCTGTGAGGGCGCTCAGTAGTTGACGGGAATCAGCACATGCTGCTGTCTCCTCCTTTCTGAGAGCATTGGTTAAAGTGGAGGTTCCGCTACAAACACCAGAGATCAGAGATCGCTGTTCCTGCTGAAGGAACATCTGTCACCACCTCCAACCCCAAAACAAACAAACAAAAGCACTCCAAGGGCACGGCATCTTGGGAGCCACTCCTTCTCAAGGCTGCTCTTGAGGGTGTAAATCTCCTTAAACGCTGCCTCCAGGCACCCCTCTTGCTTCCGCTTTACCCGAGCCCTGCCCACATACCTTCCTCATCTGAAAAGCTGGCCATCACGGCCCACATCTTTACTAACACCGGAAACTGAAGTCTCAGCCCGAGTCCTTCCTTGCCTTCACCCTTACCCAGCCCTTCAGGAAGTCCTGTCCTAACTGTCTATGGTGTTTCTCCATTGCAGTCCCATCACCCAAGTTCACAATCTTTCCAGGGGCTTCGCAGTGCTAGAGAAATTGAGGAAACCTGTAGCCCAGACTGGCCTCAGACTCACGGCTCCGAGTACCGGAATTACATGAGCTGCCCGGATGCATTCCTCCTGATTCTGTGTGCTCCCTTTGTCCCTGCTAATTCCTCTGCCAGTCTTCCTCTCTCACACACACCCTCTTCCCCAAGCTGCTCCCAATACCTGTCGATAGGCTTTCCCAAAGCTGGCTATCTTCCCTTTCTGGCACTGACCTCAATGCATACCATAGCATGTTTTGGAGTAACTGTGGGACTTCCCTTTCTTCATCACATGACTGTGAGCCCCATCATAAGAGATCTGGGCTGCTTTTGTTTACTGCAGTATTCCAAATCACGACACACAGAAATAGCTGAGTCAGTGCTTGTTAGATTAAACCATAGGTGAGGACGATGCCCAGACACCTGCCTAATTATGGGCAGGGGATCATATACTCTGATTATTTGGGGAAACCAGGCGTTCATCTGTCACTCCTGCATAGTAATAACGGTGTCCCTGGTCACTCTCAAACATCCCAGCTTAGTCACATGTCATATGATCAGCTCAGCTGTTAGGAAGGAGAAAGGGTTGACCCCAAAGATTCCACTTTTCCCATTCATTCCCATTTTTCTCCAACGCAGCCAAAGCATTCTCTTGCTTCTGAAACCTTTCTTCTTCTTACATATTCTCCCTGCATCCCCCCTCCCACCAATACATGACCATTCTGCTTTCCCACTTCACTGCAGAAGTATACTCCTAGAGGGTTGCCATGGCGAGCTAATGATTCACTACCCTAGAAACAGTTGCCTAGGAAATGAGTGATGTCACTTCCAGGAGCTGGTTTCCATAGTAACCATCTTGGTGGAATTCAGGGGGTGGCCATGGAAGTGAAGTGGGAGGAAGGCAGTTGCAGAAAAGACAAATGTAAGGAACAGAAGGAAATGGGGAGGGGGAAGCATGGGAGGAAAAGGCCAGGAAGAAGATGGGGACCATCCCAGAGCAGCTGACAATAATAAGATGTCAGGAATGGAAAAGCCTCCAGAGACCACCAAAGGCAACAAGCTACGAGGCTAGACTTAGAACCACACCACTGGTTTAGAAGAGATGCCAACTCTGAGACTTCCATATGGTAGATGGGTGGCAAACAGAATTCTCTTCAGTCACTTTTAAAAGTATTTATCTATTTGAGGGAGACTCGTGCCACGGTCCACATGTGGTCAGAGGACAACCTGTAGGAGTCAGTTCTCTTTCCTATCATGTGGGTTCCGGGAATCAGGTCGTCAGTGCCTTTACCTGCTGAGCCATTTCAATGGTCCAGCGCCACCTTCCTAAAATCCCAACCTCATGCATAAATACAATAAATTGTGAATTGTGTTACAGCAGGCGGAGGAACCGAAAGACATTTTCATCTTCTTTTTATTGTATCTACATATACACACGATTGCGCATTAGCCCTGTAAGAACAAGGCTCATGTCTGTCAATTGACAGAGGCATCTCAAGGCACCCACCCAATGTTTACCACGTAGTAGCAATTCAATGGGATCACTGAGTAGAGAAGGACTGATAAATGTCATTGTGTGCTACAGAGCCATAGCCCTAGACCCCCCAAGATGGGTTCACAGCAGCTGTCAGGGAGAAGGGAGGAGATCATAGATAGAATTTGGATAGTCATTCCAGGAGCAGTAAAGACGTGTAGAAGTAAGGGAGCAGGGTTAGGGAGGTGACTCAGTCATCAAAGTGACTGTCCCACAAGCACTAGGGCCTGTTTGGTCCCTCAAAACCCATGTAAGAAAGCCAGGAGTGACAGCCCATGCCTTTAATCCCAGAGCTGGGGGAGGCAGAGACAAAAAGAACCCGAGGTATACTAGTCAGTGACTCTAGCTGAATCAACAGACTCCGGTAAGATACTATCCAAAAAATATGGTGGAGGGTGATAGAGGAAAGCACCTGATATCAACATGCACACACATGCACACCCCATACATGAACATGAACATGTTAGACACACACACACACACACACAAAAAAAAAAAAAAAAAAAAAAACAAACACACACACACACACACACACAAAAAAAAAAAAAAAAAAAAAAACAACTAAGCGAGCGGGTTGAACAAGGTTGGTGTAGCTGGGCTTCATCTGATGCTGCTGTTCCCACCTGTCACAGTGTTGCCTACAGCATAACCTTTCTCAGTGGAAATCAGCAAAGCTTGAAAGAAAAAGCACAAAGGTCCTGATGTCAGGACATGCCCAGGATGTTGGCAGGACTCTAAGAAGCCAACAGGTTGAAAGGGCAAATGTAACTGAGAGGGACAGAAGACTGGCAAGCAAAGGGGTCTTATCAAAGATGCCTCCTCTTCAACAACTCTGGGTCCTTTGGAATTTTAAAATTGTTTCCATGCACACATAAAGGCAACATAATGTTATGAGAAAGCAAGGGCCTTGAAGTCTTGCAAAGCAGCATGCTAGGCTGCCTCTGGCTGTTTATTTAACCTTAGGAAAGTCACTTTTCTTGAGTCTCAGACTTCTAGCCACTTTTCTTTTCTGCAGTTCTAGGGATAGAACCCGGAACCTTGTTAATGTTAGGCCACTAAGTTACATTCTCAGCCCTCAAACTCTTTGTTGTTTTGGGTTTTTGTTTTCCGAGCACGGTTTCTCTGTGTAGCCCTGGCTGTCCTGCAACTTGCTCTGTAGACCAGGCTGGCCTGAAACTCAGGAGATCTGCCTGCCTCTGCTTCCTGAGTGCTGGAGTTGAAAGCAACTGTGAAGAGCCCAACATGGGTCCTGGGAATCAAACTATTAATTATCTCAGAAGCTGTACCTACTTATAACCAAACCCTCTCGCCAGCCTGAACTAAAGCCTCACTTACCAAGGTGGCTAGCTCACAGAAGGTAGTCAGCAAGTGTGATTTCCCCTTTCGGTCCTGACAGCTTCGGTCCTCCACAATAGCACTTCCAGC